TACAGTCGACCCCCGTATAAGATCATTGATTATTCCGTTTTATATGAATTCCATGTTGTACGGGTCACTTAGATTTTACAAATACGTGTACCGGGCTGTGAACGGCTCACGTATTTGTAAAATTTAAGTGACTTGTACAACATGGAATTCATATAAAACGGAATAATCAATGATCTTATACGGGGGTCGACTGTAGTATCAAAAACATTTGTCTACTTCAGCTTTTTGTTTTTTAATAACAGTTATCTGGCTATTACAGAGATGTCACTAAATAGTTACTGTATTAGTACATTTACATTCAGTTTATACAGCAGTGCAAAATCTTATAAATCAAAGCAAGCTGGTGCATATAAGAGCATGTTCTTATAATCAAAGTAGGATGTATGTTTCAAAAATGCAAAAACAAGCAGTTTTCATGTATAACATGTTTTTATTTATTTGAAAATACAGTAGATGTTATAAGAACATTTATAAAAGAAAGTAAAAACACACAGTGTGGTGTTAACACTTTTTATTTTCACTAGTACAGTGGTTCTCAACCGGGGGTACATGTACCCCTAGGGGTACAAACGTAACTCGAAGGGATACATCTAACTTTCATTATAAAATGGCGTATGTTAATCAATTTGCTGTAAATTATTAACACAAGAAACAACAAAAACTTGCTTTAAAATATCCCAGTGTGAACGTCAATTTCCTTTTTAACAGTCTGAACAACTTGTTTGTCCATTTGATTTGCCTGTCTATTTGTGCCGTTAGTGTCGAGTGAACCTGTAGTCTAGTAAAATTACGGTTTAACTGATCATTAATTTTAGAATAGAAAAAAATATTTTTTATATTCTGTAATAATACTTTTCATCCCCTTTCCTATCTCGCTTTACTTTTTCCCTTCGCCTCTTCCGTTAATTACTTTTTCTCTACTCTTCTTCATACTCGCGCAAGAGTAGTCCCGAGTCTTCATCCCCTTTATGCTAAATATTCTATAATTATTGCTCGATAAGATCAAGCAATAATTATAGAATATTTAGCATAAAGGCTTTTCCTGTTTTTACTAGACTACTGGTATTAGGAATAATGAGGCCTGGATCGTACTCCCACCATGAAATACGTGTCACTGCATGCACGCATTACTTGATATTTAGCAAATTTAGATGTTACATTTGTTACAAAAATTGAAAGATTTATGTATTATTCTGCGCATTATAAATTCACAGTCATTACTTTCAATGTCAGTACACAATTATAATCTCTATTTAATTAATTAACAACGTTGGAACCACGAAAAAATTGCTGAAGATTTATCGTAACAAATATCTTATTAAATTTTATTAGAAATTATTATAGAATAATCTAAATTTTCTTTATTGTTAATTATAATTATTTATTTTTAGGAAATGTAATTTATGCATGTATTGAAATGACTTCTGTGATTTTATATAATATACTTGTCAAATACAGTAATAATAAATAAATGTATGTACCTGATTAAATTGATTATTATTTATGTAAAATAAGTAATTCATTTTTAGTTATAGTTAGTTAGTTAGTTTTTTTATGGTGCTCAGTTTTAAGGGCTGTATACATCTAACACAGTAATTATAAAATTTACATACTGAAATATAAGGGGTACTTGAGAAACAACTAATGGGAAAATGGGGTACATCAACAAAAAAGGTTGAGAACCACTGCACTAGTACTTTCAAAAACTTATATTTATCA